ACATATTTTTTTTAAGATTAGATTCCTTCCATAACACAATAAATTTACTGGGGCATTTTACTGCTAATATAGGTATTGGTTGGTATTCCTTAGAAGGAAACTTTTAGAAACAGCCAAGAGAAGTAAATAGTTCAGTTTAAGCAGTAAGTTTTTTGGCTGATCATTTTCATTATTCATGAAACCTCTATATACATTGTATATCCTAGCACAGTGTGATTTTTGCCTTGTTATTATGTTAGTTCACAAACAAAAAAAAAAGAAGTTGTTATGAATCAGAATTCCACCTGTAACACTTATTCTCCTGTATTATTACTCTTCAGCCACAGCATGGAATCTTTGCTTGACAGCAATTTATCAAAGTATATGAAGATGACCTCCAAATATCAAGACTAATAACTGCCAGCTGAGGCTACTATTTCCCTTCTGTTCACAAAACACAGGCAACAGTTGTATAAACACCAAAATACAGGGAATCCAGACTTGTGGAAATGGCATGTTCTAATGAAATCAGTAACACTTGGAAGTTAAACAGAAATGGTAAACATTTTCTCAAAAGCCTTTGACGAAGAATGAGGAGCGTGGGATTTAGAGTAAACTACTTGTTTGTTTGCTTATTTCAAAGAAAAAGAATTTGAAAACTGCAATAAGCATATAGCTGAACCTCATTCAACAAACATATCAATTTCTGCAATATTTATAGGCTTTTCTATAATATTTACTGCTGAGATATTTATGCACCTCAGGAGGAAGAGATTTCTTTTCTCAGCTCCACAGTGTGGTAAGAATGCTTTATGCATCTTTGCAGATGGGGAAGCTCTAAAAAACCACTTTGGCTGGTAAAGATGTCCAGCTCTGCAGAGCCTCCCTAACAACAAGGTTAATTCTTATCCTCCATTTTAGGTTTAAGGATCTAAATTACTTCTCAGTGATGTTTAAGGGATGGGTGTATCACTTCCTATTGCAGCAGCTTTCAATCTTTTAAAAGAAGCTCTAAGTCCCTGAACAGTCTGACAGACTATACTGAAAAAAGTGTTGCAAAAACATGAGCATTACCCGGGAAAACCACCACCTTGGAATATGACAAGATGAGTAATAAATACAACAAAGACAAGGCATAGAAAGGAAATGAACAAATAAAGACAGTGTTTTATACTATGATTACACTTTTTACAATAGCCAACTACGTTTGATAGTCATATTTATACAGCTTACTATTGCAGGATGCCCTCCTGCAGTTTAGTACTCCAGCTTGTAGGATTCTTAAGACCCAATGGTCATAAGATACCAAAGTCCACCGAGGCCAAAAAGAACTCCTTCCCTTCATTTTTTTATCAGGGCCGAGATCTGGCACCCACATGATCGTCTCTAGTTCAAATTTCAAAACATCTAGACTGTACTCAGACAGGGGAAAACACAGAACTACAACGTTTCCATTTAAACAGTAGCTAGTCAGTCTAACACCAGGAACCACTCTGGTCTTGGGTGGGGATTTATTAGGACATAAAAGGGAAAGAGAACAGAGATGACTGAGTCGGATACAACTACTCTGGATACTCCACAAGGAGAACAGTCCTTCACTTTCTCTGTGAATCCCTCAGAGCAGCTGAAACAGGTGGCTTGAATAGTATTTATGAGAATGTTTCAGCCTGTGAGTAATCCCTTATCCTGTAACTCCCATGGACTGAAATACTGACAATCCAAGCTCAGTATTTGAACTGAACTGACCAGTTCCTCGGTCTTCCTGTGACTGTGTTTGTATTGTTCCTACCTGGACATTTTGAACACTGACCAGCTCCTGCCTAAATAACAAAACACAGCATTTTCAGTCACATCCTATTTATCCCTCTTTCCCGCTGTTACTTCTGTGATGTTCATCATTCTTGCAGTGAGAGAAATAAACAGGAGGGGAAATTTGAGAAATAAAGGATAAAACCTGGCTTTTGTGGCACATTTTTGAGGGGAACTCAATTTGATTTTTGAGGGAGTATAAAGTCACCTAACAAGACTGGAATTTCAATGGGAGCAGGAGATAAAACACCTGGAGAGTCCGTTGGATTTGACAGAGCTGGGCAGGTACAGAGAGTGATCTTGGGAGCTCCTGGAATTCAGACTTCAAAGGGGACAGAATGTGGTAGTACACAGAGCTGAGAAGCAAAGAGCATGGCACTGGGTGTGTTCCCACAGTTTGCTGGACTGTTTCTGTCCTGACACATTTTTGGGGGAGAGAAATAGGTGGAAATTTTGGACTGTGAGACTGAAAACCACCTGATACTACACACAGCAGAGATTGAAAGTGCAGTGCACCTTTGGTTGCGTGTGCAGTTTTCAGACTGCAAGGAAAAGGAACCGCCCCACGATCGCAGCGCGAATACAATTTTGCAGATAGAAGAGAAGGTCAGTGAAATCCTTCTGTGCTGACGCATTTTCTTTTGAGAGCCGTGGAGGACGTTCTCAACTTCGGATCTTCACATCTGATGGTTTGGAGGGAACGATGTATTTACGTCTTTTTCAAGTGTCCGGCGCCATCGCGTGGTCCTTCCCCACCATCGCCGCTCCGAGCAGCCCAAAAAGCCGCTCCGAAGGCGGCAGCCTTTGGTCACGGCTCTCAAACGAAATGTGTCGTGTGCAGTTTAAAGGCTGCTGGGAGAAGGGATAATCTAGGAATCCCTGCTACGTTTGGTACAGTTTATATGCTGCAGATGGAGGGAAGGTGAAGGCCAGCACTTGCTTTTCACGCAGGAACTTTTTTATGGACGTGGGCTTTTTGTTCTCGTACCTTTTTTCTTATGGGACCATCTGCTGGACGTTTTAATGTTTGAAACTGGGATCTGCACGAGAAAAAAAAAAAAAAAGGCACTTCATAGAGCTTTAAAGGAATGTGTATAGGAATTTAAAGGAATGTGTATAGGAATTTAAAGGAATGTGTATAGTAGAAAGGCTGTGAGGACAAGGGGTAACACAGCAATTATTTCTGTCCTGGCACATATTTCTGCATGAGAGGTGTATCAGCCTCCTTGGCCTGAAAGTGCCCGATGATTCTCACAGCTGAAAAGGAATGTGCAGAGCACATGTGACTGCAGTTTACAGGTATACAACTTTCCAAATATAAGGAACAAGGTCAAATTAAGCTTTCTGTCCCAGCTGTGAGGGCTATGGGGGCTGAAAGAGCCGTGGGTGCTATAGGGGCTATATGAGAGCTCTGGGGCCTGTGAGGGCAATAAGGGCTTTGAGAGGTGTAAGGGTTATGTGAGGGTTGTGGGCACTGCGAGGGCTGTTGGTGCTGCAGGGGTTCTGAGACCTATGGGGTCTGTGCGGGCTAGAGGGGTGTGTGGGCTAGTGGGGATATAAGAGCTACAAGGGTTACTGGATCTGTGAGGGCTATGAGTTCTGTGAAGGCTATGGTGTCTGAGGGTTATAGAGGCTGTGCAGGCTTTTGGGGCTGTAAAAAGGGCTATAGGGGTTATGAGGTCTGTGAACACTACAGGGTCTGTGCAGGCTATGGGGGCTGTGCAGGCTATGGGGGCTGTGAGGTCTATGGGGGTGCTGAGGGCTGGGAGGGCTAGGAGGTCTGTGAGGGATATGCAGTCTTTGAGGGCTGGGAGGTTTATGGGGTCTGTAAGGGCTATCGGGGCTGTAAGGGCTGTGAGGGCTATGGGGTATGTGAGGAATGACAGGGTTATAGGGGCTTTGAGGGCTGTGGGGACTGTGAGGGGCTGTAATGTCTATAGGGTCAGTGAGGGCTGTGAGGGCTGTGATGGTTATGAGGTCTGTGAGGGTCTGGGGTCTCTGAGGTTTCAGAGGTCTGTGAAGGTTATAGGGGCAGAGTGGGCTGTAGTGGCTGTCAGGGCTATGGGGGCTGTTTTAAGATGGCTGGAGGTAAAAATTAGAGGAAACCGAGAAGTTATATCCTAGCAGAACCTATAACAGTATGGAAATTATAGGGTAAAATGCAGCTGCTCCTCCGGGGATGGGATGCAATTGCCACGTTCAAAGCCCAATCCAGGATGATTCCCCACACACACAATCAGCAACATCAGAGCTGCCAGAGGGGGATGGAGCAGAGGGTGGAGCAGAGGGGACACACCACAGCCAGGCCCTGTGGAAATCCTTGCAGGGAGGGGAATTCGGTGGTACTTGGCAGGTGCTGTGTGGTTTTATCAGCTGCAAACCAAGGAGGAGATGTCCTGCTGCTGAGCCAGCAGTGGTGGCGAAATTGGGCAAAATTGTTCTCCTCAGATGAACCTGATTCATTAAAGCCTAATTGTAATATTAACAGACACCTCCATCCTAAAGTTACTCACCTCCAAGGTACAACCACCCCCCCACTGGGCATGCACTCTGTATTTTTTGACCAATTTACACCAACGAGCAACAAAGGAATTTATTACTCGAGTCACTCAAGTTCCACCTAAACATAAAGAAATAGTATAAAAGTAAGTTGAGAATGGAGGAAAGTTAGGGAAGACTACATCACAACTGCTGGGATCAGCTGATGGGCTAAACCTGTCTTACCTCTCTTCTCTCCCCTAGGGATGTCTATTAGGTAAGAATTATTAAAGGGGATAAAACTTGTCTGTATATTGCTTTAAATATGTTTTGCAGCCAGACACTATCACTGGCAACCTTCAGACTTCGACCTGTCACAGTTTTATATCAATAAGGAGTGTCATGCCCTAAACTGTTGATGGTGGTTGCAGGTAACACACTTGAATAAAGTGGGGAGACCCACTGAGGGGTCTCCCTTATGCTGTTGGCTCAGCCCCCTGAAAAGGGCACACCTGAAGGCTTCACTCCCAGCCTCATCCCACCACATATTGAAGGCACAAATAATAACCCAAGTTGTAGTGTCGTGTAATTGAATCCAAAATATTTTCCAGAATTTTGACCTTTTTAATGCTGTGAAGCACAGCACTGGAGTCCATCTAATACTAGAAACCTTTGCTGCTTCTTGCAGGGAGAAAGTGTCCTGCCTGGGTAAGTCTGATTAAAATAACACACAGTTCCAAGCCGATGCTTGCTTTATTAGAATCTCACAGAAGTGTTAAAATCACAATTTATGACGCTTAAGGATCAAACCCTCAAAAGATTTTTAACTACTTTATTTCCAAAAGCTCTAAGTTGTGAAGAAAAAGACATTCTAACCCAGCATCTTCAGAATGTTACTATGAAAATGGAAACGAAGTAGAATTTAATTTAAAGATTTTAACAGCTGAGACAAGCAATGTGAAAAACTGAATTACAGAAGAAGCAACACAACCCAACAATCATGCTACAAATTTACCTTTCCACAACAATTAGTACTACCAGGTCAGTTCTTTCCACCAAAAAGATGCTGTAGTGGCGAAAAGATGATGCTGGGGAAACAACAACAACAAAAAGAGCACATTAGACTTAAAATACTTCTCTGAGAACTGGGAAGAAGGCAATTTCTGTCCAACAGAAAGACACAATGACAGTACAAAACAACACAGAAGGAAACTGGAAAAACAGAGGAAACAAAGAATAATTTGTGCCCTGATGGTCTGGTCTCAGTCATTAAGGGGATGGCAAACACCACAATTAACAAGAAGTTTTATTTCTTACACAAAGTGGCTGTTCTTGGCTGGGGAGTGCACGGCAGCAGTTGGACATTGGCTGGTTTTTAGTGAGTTAATTTTGTAAGGGCTGTTACAGAGATTCAGTGACCCTCCCGTGGGTTCTTTCCCAAAGACAGTTCAGAAGAGGAAAATTTTTGGGGAATGCTGCACCTTAGCACGAGATAAAAGGATATTCCTGAATGTTTCTTTGCCCTGGGAGACTTTGGTTTAGCCACGGAAAAGAGGTCTCTGCCCTCCAGAACTGTGCAGAATCCCCTGAACTGCCAGAATCAGCCTCTGACACAGGCTTAGACAGAGCCAGGACTGCATTTGCTCACTGCTGCACGATCAGTACCTTCTCCAGAACGTTGAGAGACTTCTTCCTTCCGACTTCACATTTCCTTTCTTTCCTGCCTGGTCCATTTGTTGCAGCAGCTGCACTGTACCCTCAGCCTGACTGGCTGCTGTTCCTTGTTCAAGGGCAGATTCCACACATTTCCCTGTAAGAAACAGCAGCAAGAGCAAAACCACAACCTCACTCACTCCACACTCCCTGCGTACCCAGTGGAATGGAACGATCCAGGAATTCCTTACTCACAGTCTTTAGTAAGGGATGCTGGGCTAAACTTGCACTCATTTGCTTTGGAAGAGTTCTGAAAGGAAAAGGAACCCAAGAACTGTTACACAATGCAAAATTCTACTGTACAGAAATTTTAGTTTGCTTGCTTGTTAAGCAAGTACTAAAAGCACCAAAAAGGCAAGGTCTGCTTTCTTGTTCTGTTGTTTTTTGGGGCTTTTTTTCTGCTACTGTGAGGACTTTCTTCATCAAGATATTTTTATACCTCCCTCCTCAGGACATTCACAGGCCTAACATAAAGCTGTAATTAATTTAGAAGACTTTAACATATCAGATAGTGAAACAACAGGAGCTATGGCATGAGCAGAGATTTCAAAAAATATGAACAGAGGAGCTGTGGGAAACAACAGCCCCTGGAGAGTACAGGCCCCTAGACATTAGCACTGCTAAGACACAGTGCTGGTACACAGATTAACTGAGAAAGGACAGAAATGAAAGCTGCCAGAAGCAAGAGGTGGGCCAGGAATACCCATAAGGAGGGTGATCAGCAACCTAAAGGACCACAAAACCCAAAACCATCATGTAAAAGCACAAACAACAAAACCAACGGGTCAGCTTCTTTAGGAGAGAGTAACCTCTAACAGAAAAACAGACCCACTGCTGTTTCCCTTGCACTAAACACAGAATCACAGAACCATTCAGGTTGGAAAAGCACTCCAAGATCAAGTCCAGGAGCTACTGACATGTTTTTTTCCTAAACCTAATCTTCTCATCCCAAATAAAAAAACCCAAACAAATGGAAAGCATGTCACAGAAGTACTTGGGTCTGACTTTCTAAAAATTCCACACCAGGAAGAGGATTTGTGCCCATGATTTCACACAGTGCTTGTTACACCTGCTCTGGTATTCATCAACACAAACAGTTTCTGCCTGGACATCCCTCTCAGTGCAACAGTGCCCTGACTAGTGCAAATTCCAGGGACAAGGTAAGCAGAGGGGGAAGAAAAAGTGACGTAAATTTTAGAGTCAAATAAGCCTGCTTGTTTTAGAAAAATTATTCTTCACTGAATGCAGTCTTCCTCCTACCCTGAAAATCTAACAAACCTATCAAAAGATCCTGCTCTGAAACAAAGTTTTGGGCTCCTTTTGTGGGCAATCCCGAGAGAAATGAGTGATTCCTTGGAAAAGACTCTCTTCAAAGATTTTGAGGGTGGGAAAGAGCCAGGAAGGTGATAGTGTGACAGGGATTTGAACTAAATTTACAATGGGTATCCAGAAAATGGACAAAATGCCCAGGGACATTTGGGAGGATGAGTGACAGCTAGGAGGACACAGGTGTTAAGGACAAGGACTAAACAGGTGCTGTTGCTTCTTTCTGAATATTCTGTAACTTACCTTTTCAAATCCATGCTCTGCTTTACTCATCTGATGAGCATAATCAGTTCCAGTTCTAAAAATAAGTCAAGTAAGTAAGAACTGAGTTTACAAAACGTCACAAAAAGGAAGCAATTTTGTAAATGGCTACTCCAAGCATTTCATTAGAAAGCAGGACTTTAGTACCTCTAGCCAACAAGATATAGACCTTTAGTCTGTATTTGTACTGATGTTTCAAAGTCTACCTTAAAAAATTAAAATATGCACTTGTTCCAGTATTAGGTTTTCTGCTCTTCTACTAAAACTAACAAGCAGTTAAAGGGGAAAAAAAAGTGTTACATGACATGGAAAGGGGAATGAGCAGTGAGCTGAGAAAGCTTGAGAATCCTACAAAGTTACAAGGGCAGGGAGCAAAGAACCACAGAAAGATCTTACAAGACTTGGTCACAGAGCAATAAAACAGCAAAGGGAGCTCTGTACAGGGATGTGCAATGGGATGCATGTGGAGAATCCCAATCCTGGCTTCACACATCGTGAGGTGCTCAGTATCACTGGGAACTGTCACCCAGAGATTCTGATTCCTCAGCACTCAGTAACACCCCAAGAAAACCCAAATCCCCCATGAGAACTTGGCAGCAAAAAAGCTTGTCCAGAAAGATGAGAAGACCAAGAGGTGGTATCACTACAGCAGACACACTCCTTCCTGGGGCAGAGGGGATACTCAGCCTGGATGAGCTCTTCAGTCTAACAACATAACTGGAAAAAGATGACAGAAGGCTTGAAGCTGATGCTCACCAATTTGATTTTGAATTCAAGAAATTACAATTATGAACTGTTTTAATCATAACTGCTGGGGTAGGATACATAACCTAGAGAGAACTGCCAGACTGGATCATGAAATAGCCCTTTTTGTTCTTGTACTTTGTTAATCTACAGCTCATGTGTTGGCTAAAAGAAACCAGAAAGCATCCTGAATCAGGGGCTCATTCCTCCCTCATTTCCAGCTGTTGCATTGTGACTGGTCAGGGGAATGGCAGTGGGATTAAAGGACTACATTTGTATGAGCAGGAAAAGGACTGGCTTCAGACTGCTCCTGTTATAATCTCTGCATGGAACACACTTGGGAATGGGGTAGGATATAAGGCAAGGAGAGATGACTGGACACAGTCTGTGTAGGGGAGGGGAAAGGTGTGCACAAACACATCCCACCACAGGGATGGCTCAGAGACTCTGTCACTTGTGACAATTCAGCACAGACCGAAATTTTCTCTTTGTAAAAGCTCCACTCTGTTATAAAGAAAGAAGCCTGCTGGCCTATAACTAATGTTGGGCCTCTGGGAGGTAGTCAAGAACCAAGTCTGAAGTTAGCCATGAGCCAGGCCTGCCCCCTCGTGCTAAAGGTGGCCAACAACCCCCTGAGCTGAATTAGGCAGAGCTCTGCCAAATCACTGCCCTCAAGCAGCAATCCCTCCCCTCCACTCAAGGCTGCTGGAGCCCCTCTGTGGGCTCTGTCTGGACTGGACTCCCCAGGACGTGACTGGGACTCACTGAGGTGAACCCAGGAAAGGGCCACAAACATGATGATGAGATTGGGGAACCTTTTGTATGCAAAGAGGGAACCTTTTGTATGAGAGATGGCACTGTTCAGCCTGGAGAAGGCTTGGGTGGGCTCTTATCAATGTACACCTGATGGGAGAGAATGAAGGACAGGGAGCCAGGCCCTCCTCCACAGCACCTTCTGGCAGGACAAGAGGCAAAGGGCACAGACTGCAAAACATGAAATTAAGTCTGAACACCAGAAAAAACCTTTTTGACTAGAACTGTGGTCATGCACTGCAACAGGCTGTCCACAGTTGTGGTGTTTCCACAGTTGGAGTCCATTCATGACCCAAGGGGATCCAGCCTGGGCAACTTGGTCTGGGTGACCCTGCTTGAGCAAGAGGGGTGGGGACTCAATGATATCAAAGGACCCATCCAAGCTCAGTCATTCTGTGAAATCCAGATAGAGATCTACCTGGGAATCACCATGACAAGTTTAGCTGCTGAAGAAACCAATGGGAGAGATGTGTGAGAACACTCATGTGCACACACAACACGTGCAATTCAGTGAGACTTCAAAGCACTTGGAAAAGAGTAAGCTCCAATGTGTTTTGCCATCAGCCTGGCAAAGTTCCCAGTTGAAAAACTGTCCTTGCTGTCCCTGCTCAGTGTGCAAGCCAGTGCAGTGATCTGTCTGGCTGCTGAGCTCACTGTGTGAACACAGAGGAATTAAACAGGCAGAGGTCTGGTCCATGGCATGGGAACCTGGGAAGCACAGGAAAACTTTTTTCCCCCCAATATGAGCAATGCTGCTGAGATTCTGTTCCTTATGGAAGAGGAGGAAGAAGAAAAACAGGGCAAAGGACTGCATAGAAATGAAACATGAGGACACAAGAACCATTAACATGACACAAAAGAGACATTAATCTCCCTGGATACATATCAATATTTTTATTTTGTCAGTCAACTGACCTGTCCATACGCAACTGTGGGCATGAATTCTCTGCTCCAACTTCCACTCTCCTCCTCTTCACTGCAGTACTTTCTGATATGTCATTTCTTCTCCTGACCTTCAAAACATTGCAAACTTGGTATTGATAACAAGTGACTTTGACTTCTCTACTTGGGAACAAAATTCAGAGTTAATATAATACACATTAGTATTTTGCAAAATCATTTCATTTATAGAATGAAAACAAAAGAAGGGTTCAGGACTGAGATAAGAACTGGGAGGCCATCCAGAGAATTATGCTCAACAGTTTTAAACAAAATCCTCCATTCCAGGACATCCTATTTGCCCCATCTTCAGAGGACTGCTAGGAATTTAAGTAGCAGGAATGGAATACTAAGCAGACACAGAAACATTCTTCAGGGGAATCTGGACAGGACATCTTCATGAATTCACTCCATGTTCAGACACTCACCCATATTGAAAACAAACCTGCCCTGAGCTCTCATTACACAAAAATGACCAAATTAGCTTAACGATGCTGTTTATGGCAGGACTGCATCCCAAGTCTATGGAACTGACAGGAAGATTCCTCTCCTGCTGGATGGTTCTGGGTGAGATTCAGTGACAGTTTGCACTGACTAACTCCTACAAGTACAAGAACTGTAGCATTGCCTAAATATATACCTTCTGTTTCACCAGAATACTTTGTTTTGTTGTTTAATTTATATTCAAACAAAAACAAAGGCACAACTTACAAGCTCATCACTGCCTCTGTTTACTTCTTTACCTGTAAACAGAGGTGTAAAATTTGATGATTATTTAGACTGGACTCTCTGTAACCAACTGAAAAGTACATTTTTGCATTGCACCTCATCTTCCAGGAACAAGACAAGCTACTGTCAAGAAGAGTTTGGACCTTTCCACAGTCAGTTTTTACATCCAAACCTGGGATGTTTGACAGGGAGCACAAATGGGTGAGACTAAGAAATGACTACTTGGTCATTTTATAAAGGAGATCAGATTACCTGCTAAGCAGTCATAAGAAAAAACAGCAACTTTTTTCAGGGCCTGATAATCAGGACAGGAAATAGTAAGAACACTCAGTTTTCCCAGCAGGGGAATTCAAATGCAGAGTCCCACAGAGGCCTCAGCTGGGGGCTGAGGCTGTTCAGGGAATTCACAGAAAACCTGGAAAACGAGACACTATTGAGGTGACAACATTTGCTAATTACACAAAAGGCATTATTACCATCATTACTATCATTATTTAGAAAAACAAATCCACTCTTTCTTTAGAAAACTAGAAACAAAGAGAGTGTTGTCAGCAAATGCAGTCAAGCACAAGGAAGAAAAACATGAATTCCATGGCTCCAGCCCAGTGACTGACATTAAAAAATAAAGGCTGGGAGACACTGGGCATCATTTCATAAGAATAAATACCTGCTGAAGAGTCAGCAGTGGCTGAAAAGGCAAAGAGAAATTCAGGAAATTTTAGAAAAGCAACACAGGACAGTAGAGAACACACTATCATGCTCTATTTCAAACCACACCACATGCAGTTTTGCTCTCTCTCATTCAAAGATACAGCAGGTGAAGGGAAAGGGGAAAGCAAGACATAGATCACAGGTATCTTCAGAAATCATCCAAACATAACCACAGTGACTTACCACAAGACATATTTTGCTGAAATGAGTTCAGTTCTAGATACAATGTGCAAATGTAGGGATAAGGTACAAGATGGACATTCTCATGTTTGAATTTCATCTTCGATACTCTCTCCCATTTACTCAGATCTGAGAACAATGATAAGGCTTAAAAACACAGCACTAACATTTCAAAGGAGCAGGAGCCCTGACAATGCCTTCAAAAATCACATCATGCTGCACATGTGCACCAGGGAGCAAACCCAACCTGCCACTGTGAACTTCATGAAAAAGCACTTTATGAAGAAACCCCCAGGAAATGCTGCCCCATCAGTCACCTGTACTAAGAGTGTTCTGTTCCCTTAACTGTACTGCCCTCCTGACACCCTTTTGCAAAAAAAAAAACAACATGCCAGGCTCTTCCAACCCGATGAATAAAACCTCAGCAGCCTTCCTAACTAAAAAGTAATTGTTTTAAAAATTTATTTAAAAATTGAAAAGGACCAGGACTCATAGGAGCAGCATGATTAGATTTAGTTCTCAGTTCAAAACGGGGGGGAAAAGATAATTAACATGGCAACCACTGAAGTTAGAGCCATTCCTTCTCCTGGGTGCAGCTCTGACAAGGCTAAATTCTGTCCAGGTGCACAAGTCAGAAGTAAAAGATGAAGGCCAGCCAGGCCCTTGGTGCACTCTGATGAAAAAACACCTTGAAGGTGGAGGAGCCTGTAGCTGTGCAACAGCACAGAGCTTTTAGAGCACTGCCCGTGTACAGCAGGCCAGACTGACAGCAGCTAAAGCCCTCTGCAGACTTTAGGGAAGAAGGAAAAGATCTGTGACTGGTGCCACAGGAGTAAGGGGGATGAGCAGGATAAGGTGAATACTGGGTGGATGACACTGAAGGGGGGACCAGGATAACTGGATGACAATCCTGCAGGCTTTGTGTATTCAAAAGCCTGTCTGAACTTCCAGTTATCTCAGCTTAACTACTGCTCCTGGTAAAGCTCACTCTCTGAGGTGATTTTTGCTTCTCTCAGCCATCTCTGCGGATACCTGAGCACAGAGTCACACTTGCTCCCACCTCCATCCCCAAAAGCTCAGGGATGTGGTTTAACCTCAAGGAACCACACAAAACCAGCACTGCAGGCTTCTGCACCCACGGGCCAGCACTGCTAAGCCTGTAAGGAGAGCTTTCTATTTTATGAACCTCTGGGAATAATGCTCTGGCTGTGCTCACAGTGGCAGGAGGGTGGACTTCTGGGCATACCTTCATTTTCTCTGGTCAAATCTGCTTTGGAATGGGGGGGTGTTCTGATGGAAACACTGCAAAACACTGTTTTCACATCAGTTCTCTGGTGAAGGCAACATCTGAGAAGGATCTTCAGCCAATGTCAAACAGCAAAGCTTGAAGGAGTCCTACTCCAGCTAAAGATCTGCACAGTCCTACACATGAATGTTGAATTAGGCAATGCCCAACACACACAGGTCATTGAATCTTTTCTTTTATAAACAGCAAAAAAAGGATACATGGAAACACAGTGAAGTGGTCTGTAGAAAATGGATGTAAGTCATCAAGATTTCCAAGGATTACTCGAATCACTTCCTGGGGAGGCCCCAAAAAAAACCCAAAATGAAACAAGGAAGAATATTAAAAACATCACAACAATTCCAGTGTCAAGTACAGTTTCAAGGCTTGGGAAAAATTAACTTTACTGTTTGCATGAACCATGGAAAAGCAGATTCTAGATACTCTGCCTTTCCTCCTCTCCTTCTCTCTGCTCCCTCTGGTCATCAGCACCCTGCACTGACAGACTCACAGAAATTGAATCTTAATCTTAAATTAATACAGAAGAATTACTACAGAGAGTGAAGATATGGTTTCAAATTTAATAAGTTTTAAATTTAAGAAATGTCTTTTTTTTTTTTTCCCAGCAAAACACATGTAGCATTTACTTGTGCAAAAATAAACATATTCCTCTTTTGCTAAATATTGACCCAAATCAGTTACAAGGGAACAGCAGTTAAGGCCCAAAAAACTCCTGCTGTACTAACAGGAAAGCTTTTCTATTAATACCTTTCAATATTTTCAAAAATTAAAAAAAAATTATAATCTTTATATCAATTAAAATCAGAACATTTTCTCCAGTAATATTTTTAATGCTATTACTATACCCTGAAGATTTTAAAAAATTAAGTAATAGAAAGGAGTATTTTTAAGAAGGCACTTTATTTGTCTCATTTTCTCAGGAATGGCAGGAGCTTTCTTCTGCCTCGGGAAGCAGATGACAACACCACAACTCACCAGTTGTGACCATCAATTTGTGCTTGGACACAAAGCACTGGCATCATTAAAAGTGCTCCTGCAAGAATGACTGTGAAGAGGAATCTGACAGGAACAGGGTGCAACTAGTTTGACAATCAGGAGTTTCCATTTGTCCAGTTTTAACAGTCAGTAGCTTCTTTGCAATATTTGAAATAAAAGCATGACTCCTCTACACTAATTTTGCCTACTGAGGGCATTTTTAATTTAGGTCTGAACTCTGAACTCTCCAGAGAAGTTCCCTATTATTCACCCTTGAGATGTTGCATTTGACAAAATGTTCCCTGTCCCACAACAAACATAAGATTTGTTCAACCTAACACCCATCCAAGGTCCTGTGGACCTGCCTCAGCTCCTACCTCTGACTCCTTGGCAGCACTTTCAGCAAGACTGAGATCGGGAGCACTGTGAAACAAGCAGAGTTGGAACCATCCCAGTCAAAAAGCAATGGAGCAACACTTGATATAAGAGCTTAAACAGCAACAAAACATCATTCCCACTGCATAGGAAAAAATACTGAGCAGGCAGATGAATTCTTAATCTGTTATTCTTAAAAAACATCCACCATTGCACAAAGGTTGTTCCTCGTGAACTTTCTGCCCATTTGTGTGTTGGGTATCTGTGGATACAATGGATGAGAGATCAGATCTTTACAGTTGACCCCCAGCAACCCTCAGGATTGGGGTTTTTTGACACAGTGCCCTCAAACCACCCCCTGTCTTCCTCTGTTGTGGTGCCACCCTGCTTAAGGGACTAAAAGGAGGAACTGGCAGGACATGTCTGTGCAAACCCAGAGAGGAATGCCCTTCACAGCACCAGCATTAGCCCTGGCATGCTGGGAGTCGTGTGCTGCCTACATCAAACTGTTCCCAAATACAAACTACAGCTTCTGGAAGCCACCCTCTCAGAAGCTGTTTGCTGCCAGGTATCGGCCAACAATCTAATGCACAGGAAAAGAGCTGGTCTTAAAGAAAACCTGAACTCGTTAAAAAGTAAACAAACCACATAAAGGTCACTTAAAAATAAGCCAATAAAGTGGAGCGCAAGGAATCCAAGGTGGGCAAGGAATCCAAGGCACACAAGTATTCCCTGGTTTATGGTCTGGCAGGCAGCCATGGTCACATCTTCCCCACCCAGGGGCCCCAGCCAGAACGTGGTCAGAGCTGAGCACTCCCCTCCCTCTTCTGAAAGGCACACAGATAACAGCAAACAGCCCAGGAAGTAAGGACATTCACTGAGTAAGGAGCTCCAAGGCTGTGCTGGTTTTGCCTGGGAGAGAAGTCAATTTTCTCGACAGCTTGGATTTGAGCTGAAAACAGTGTTGCTGACACAGAGATGTTTCACTTACCGCTGAGCAGTACTTACCCAGCGTCAAGGGCTTTTCTGCTCCTCACAGTGAGCAGGCTGAGGGTGCACATGAGGTTGGGAGAGAACAGGGATGGGGGGGATAACCCTCACCGACCCAAGTGATATTCCAGACCCGAGGATGCCACGCTCAGGAACAAAATACAGGGCAGAAAAAGGCAGGGGGGGACGTTTGGCATCAAGGCAGATGTCTTCCCAAGTAACCATTCTGCGCTACAGGAGACCTGCTTTTCTGGAGACTAAACACCTGCCTGCCCATGGGAAGCAGTGAATGAACTCAAGTCTTTATTCTGCTCTGCTTGCATGTGTATCTTTCGCTTTACTTATTCAGCTGCCTTTATCTTAACCCACCGGTTTTACTTCTACCTTTCCAGTTCTCTCCCTCACTCCACTCAGTTGCCAGCTGGGCTTAAACCACCACAAAGGCTCTGGAGTTTCTCAGTTAAATCCTTAAATGCTGCCTGTAAAAACCGCCTCTTTTCCACTGAAGCGAAAAATTCACACAGGGCAATGAAACAGTGTTTTTTTACAGCTCGGATTACTCTCTCAGCGCGTGAAAGGAATCAGCAGCAACTTTTCAATGGCCAGTGGAAAAAAAGGCAGGAAATTAGGAGCCCCCCCCCCCAGATCTGAATTTAAGGTCCCATATTAACTCAATAATCCGCAGTTTGACTTCTCATCTTTAGCATACTTACTTGCTAAAGTTGCCATAGCGGATTTTAAACTTGTACACGACCCTGCCAGCGTGAAGGAACCTTGTTTCGGGCAATGGATAGGTGAATGGCTTCAGCGACATCCTCCCCCTCTCCTTCCCGGAATGCCAGGCTACGGGAAGCAGGACAGCCAAAGGTTAATTCCTAAAACCCTTTCACCGCGTCTCGTTCTGTCATACGAAAAGATTACACGCTGGGGCAATGCCGGGGCTGCCAGACGGGAGACGATGACTGATGATGATGATGATGATGATGATGACGATGATGCCGCCGCCTCCCCAGCGCCGGGGGCGGCCTGAGGGGCCTCCGAACAGCCCCCGTGCCCACCGGGCAACCCCGGCGCCGACGGAGGACAGGCACCTCCTCACGGGCACCGACCCCACCCCTCCCACCGGCCCCGCCGCGCCCTCGCCTCACACGGGGCCGAGGCTGAGGGCGGAGCGGAGTGAGCGCAGCCGAACCGAGCCGAGCGCAGCCGAACCGAGCCGAGCGCAGCCGAACCGAGCCGAACCGAGCCGAGCCCAACCGAACCGAGCCGAGCGCAGTCGAACCGAGCCGAGCGTAGCCGAACCGAGCCGAGCGCAGCCGAACCGAGCCGAGCCCGGCTGCCCGAGGGGGGACATGGCTGAGAGCGCCCGGGGTGCCCCGGCTCTGCAGCCCAATGTGATCATTAATTTTGTGCAGTAGGTGCTTGTCGTGAGGCTCCTGCAGCACGGACGGGATATGCGGTGCCTGCTGAGAATTGGTGCCTAAGTAACAGCCCGCCAGGTTGTTGACAAGCAGGCCCACGGTCACAAGCGAGATTATCTTGGAATGCAGCTGTTGTATCTTCCAGCGTTGGTAAAGATGTGATGCAGAGAAGAACTCAGCAGCTGCTGAACGATTGTGAATTGATTTTCTTTTGTTAAAAAAAAAAAAAAAGGCAAAATAAGCATAGAGTCACTCCACTATCTACTCTTATCCTTTCTTTCTCTTTCTTTCTTTTCCTTATATATTTTCCTAAATGAGGTCTTTATACTTTTATACTCTTATATTTCTACAGATAATAACCAAAATGGCTACATGCCTCCTATCCATTGTTTTAAAATAAACCTGCCAGATACATATATATATAGAGAGAGATGTATATATATATATATATACATATATATATATATATAAAGACCAACAATTCAGTGTCATTGAACTCTAATCCACCTCAGGGGATCTATTATTAACAAGAACTTTGGTTACCCTGCCTTCAGAGCTGGGTCATAACCCACCTGCACAGGACAGAGGGCTGAGAATGGCCCCACAGCTGCTCAGCAAGAAGTGACCAACACTCATCTTAGGGGGGATCATGG